GTGAGTTTTGGTATCACTGCTGGCGGGGGAATATGCATAGATATTTTCGCGGGTACCAACTTGCAAGAAGGAAATGTTGAACATGTTTCATGGCTTTCAAATTTTATGTTCGATGGAGATTTTGGGGCGGCTCGATTTGGCCGAACCGCCTTGGCTTGCCTCGGTTTGCTCCTGATTGACCGTTGATGCATCAATACTTTTTCCGAATCTCCGCTGTCGTGTGAGCCAATAATGTGTACAGATGTGGTTAGAAAGAACTGTGCGGATAGGTAATATACATAGGTATAAATTGGAAAAGAAGTTGCATGGGAGCCTCATATTGTTGCAAGTTAATAAAAAACAAACAAGATTTTAGATACATGAAGAAAAGTTACTCCTGGCCAAACTATGCAAATGCAATGCGAATGATAGCATTGTAAAATCATGGGGTTTTTAGAAAGCCAACCAGTGCATAGGTAACGAGGTGTGTATGTTCGTAAATTCTGGTGTGATTGTACCGAGGTTTAGGCTTTGCAAAAATGTAGCTGCTTCCTTTCCATCGCAATCTTGCCGTCTCGTTATAACCAGAAATGGCGGTTGGTAGCAGCGGAAATGCCGGTGTGCTTGTGCTGCTTCGCCAAGTATCGAGATTGCGACTCTCGTTCGATATCTGACGAGAAGCTAGGATGTTGAAGCATCCCCAACTAGAATGCCGGCAAAGCCATTTCCGCAGTTTTACGAATGGATAGAATAGCTGTCTGCAATAGTCGGCGTTGTTAAAACCCGTTTCGAGATTCGTGTCTACTCTCTTTTTCGGAGAAGAAAAAAACCATACAATCTCCGCATTTCAGCACTCGTTTAGTTTGTACAAGCGTTTAGCTCGTTCGCTTAGGCATGGCGTGACTGATACAAGCGACACTGCCACTTTACCGTTTCCAGAGTTACTCATAAGTTGACATAGCGCGCATTGCATCCCCAATGTCGTTCGCCTTACCTTCCTTCCTCCACGGCCCGAACTTGTTCCCTTGTCCTTAGTCGGCATAGGGCATTACTCCTTCTCGTCACACCAACTTCAGGAACATATATTCCTTTCGTTCAATAGTACTATTATTACGCATTCGTTCGTAATCACGTTCCTTCCATTCCCGACGACATACTCCACCATGCCGTCACCGCCAGCCATTCGGTTCGCGACCCGTCGCTTCCCGGTCGCCTTGCTCTTACCTCTCCTTCTCACCGTCTCTCCCGCCGCCTCTCACGCCTCGCAGCATTCCGTAGATTCCTCTAATGGAGGACGGGAAGGGGAACTAGGGTTACCAGGTTCAGGAGCCGTACCACTAGCGGATGATTCCGCGTTTCATATGTCGTCCAGCGGCGTGACTCGCGCCGTGTTTCACGGCCGGCGCGCGCTGCTGCAAGCGGCCGCGCCGGCCTCTGAGCCTTCCCTCTCCGATACCGCGGATCCCTCCGCCCCCGCTCCCGCATCCTCCGCGGCCTTGGCCCCTGCTTCCGCTCCCGCTTCCGCCTCCCCTTCCGCCTCCCCAGCTGCTCCGCCTTCCGCCTCCCCTTCCGCTCCTTCCGCCGCACCGTCTTCCCCATCCCCTGGGGGAGCCTCAAGCGGGACCCCCATAACGACCCCCGCAGGCCCCACTCCCCCGTCTGGCGCAGGCGGGGGGAACGGGGGGAATGTGGGGGATGGGGGGGCAACGTTCGACATGCCCGGACCTGCGTGCGAGGGGCAGTGCTGCTCCAATGCGGCCCCTGAAATCCCGGACGGAATGCCCACAATGACGTCATCTTGGCTGAGCAGCCAGCTGGCGCACGGCGCTAAGGTGTGTGGGGGAGTGAGGGGAGAGGGTGAATGGGGGAGTGAGGGGAGAGGGTGAATGGGGGAGTGAGGGGAGAGGGTGAATGGGGGAGTGAGGGGAGAGGGTGAATGGGGGAGTGAGGGGAGAGGGTGAATGGGGGAGTGAGGGGAGAGGGTGAATGGGGGAGTGAGGGGAGAGGGTGAATGGGGGAGTGAGGGGAGTTGGTGAATGGGGGAGTGAGGGGAGAGGGTGAATGGGGGAGTGAGGGGAGAGGGTGAATGGGGGAGTGAGGGGAGAGGGTGAATGGGGGAGTGAGGGGAGTGGGTGAATGGGGGAGTGAGGGGAGTGGTGAATGGGGGAGTGAGGTGAGCGGGCGAATGGGGGAGTGAGGGGAGCGGGTGAATGGGGGAGTGAGGGGAGCGGGTGAATGGGGGAGTGAGGGGAGGGTGAATGGGGGAGTGAGGGGAGAGGGTGAATGGGGGATTGAGGGGAGAGGGTGAATGGGGGAGTGAGGGGAGAGGGTGAATGGGGGAGTGAGGGGAGAGGGTGAATGGGGGAGTGAGGGGAGAGGGTGAATGGGGGAGTGAGGGGAGTGGGTGAATGGGGGAGTGAGGGGAGTTGGTGAATGGGGGAGTGAGGTGAGCGGGCGAATGGGGGAGTGAGGGGAGCGGGTGAATGGGGGAGTGAGGGGAGCGGGTGAATGGGGGAGTGAGGGGAGTGGGTGAATGGGGGAGTGAGGGGAGAGGGTGAATGGGGGAGTGAGGGGAGAGGGTGAATGGGGGAGCGAGGGGAGAGGGTGAATGGGGGGGGGGGTAAGGGGAGAGGGTGAATGGGGGAGTGAGGGGAGAGGGTGAATGGGGGAGTGAGGGGAGAGGGTGAATGGGGGAGTGAGGGGAGAGGGTGAATGGGGGAGTGAGGGGAGAGGGTGAATGGGGGAGTGAGGGGAGAGGGTGAATGGGGGAGTGAGGGGAGAGGGTGAATGGGGGAGTGAGGGGAGAGGGTGAATGGGGGAGTGAGGGGAGAGGGTGAATGGGGGAGTGAGGGGAGAGGGTGAATGGGGGAGTGAGGGGAGAGGGTGAATGGGGGAGTGAGGGGAGAGGGTGAATGGGGGAGTGAGGGGAGAGGGTGAATGGGGGAGTGAGGGGAGAGGGTGAATGGGGGAGTGAGGGAGAGGGTGAATGGGGGAGTGAGGGGAGAGGGTGAATGGGGGAGTGAGGGGAGAGGGTGAATGGGGGAGTGAGGGGAGAGGGTGAATGGGGGAGTGAGGGAAGAGGGTGAATGGGGGAGTGAGGGGAGAGGGTGAATGGGGGAGTGAGGGGAGAGGGTGAATGGGGGAGTGAGGGGAGAGGGTGAATGGGGGAGTGAGGGGAGAGGGTGAATGGGGGAGTGAGGGGAGTTGGTGAATGGGGGAGTGAGGGGAGTGGGTGAATGGGGGAGTGAGGGGAGAGGGTGAATGGGGGAGTGAGTGGAGTTGGTGAATGGGGGAGTGAGGGGAGTGGGTGAATGGGGCGTGAGGGGAGTGGGTGAATGGGGGAGTGAGGGGAGTTGGTGAATGGGGGAGTGAGGTGAGCGGGCGAATGGGGGAGTGAGGGGAGTGGGTGAATGGGGGAGTGAGGGGAGTGGGTGAATGGGGGAGTGAGGGGAGAGGGTGAATGGGGGAGTGAAGGGAGTTGGTGAATGGGGGAGTGAGGGGAGTGGGTGAATGGGGGAGTGAGGGGAGCGGGTGAATGGGGGAGTGAGGGGAGCGGGTGAATGGGGGAGTGAGGGGAGTGGTTGAATGGGGGAGTGAGGGGAGTTGGTGAATGGGGGAGTGAGGGGAGCGGGTGAATGGGGGAGTGAGGGGAGTGGGCGATTGTGAAAGGTTGTGACTTCTGAGAATTTCGGAATGTGACTCCCAAAGAGTAGAGCCAGCTTGCGCATGACGCTAAGGTGGGGGGAGAGTGAGGGAAGAGGGTGAATGGGGGAGAGAGGGGAGAGGGGGAATGGGGGAGAGCGGGGATAGGGGAATGGGGGAGAGAGGGTAGAGGGGGAATGGTTGAGTGAGGGAAGAGGGTGAATGGGGGAGAGAGAAGAGGTTGAATTGAGTGGGAAGAGAGATAAGAGGGTGAATGGCTGATAAAAGGAAGAGGGCAAATGGCGGAGAGAGAAGAGTGTAAAAGGGGAAGAGGAAGAGGAGGGTGACTGGAGATAGCTGAGGGTAAATTGAGGAGAGAGACGAAAGAGCAAATGGAGGGGGTGTTTTCGAAAGGGAGAAGAGGGTACATGTCACATTCATTGCCTTGTGGTTCATCTTGCACATTGGCTAGTCCGCCGTCGAATTTCCTCACACCCTCCTCCTGGTTGGCTAATTCGTGTTGGGCTGACTCAAAGACCGCCTTTCCTCACATTCCCATCACAATCCCTCCCCCATATCCCCGCGCTGCTCGCCACCAGGGCAGGGCAGCAGATTCTGGTGGCGAAGGCCCAACACCGTACCGTACTCTCCCCATCCCTCCATTTACCCCACCTCTCCCCATCCCTCCATTTACCCCACGTCTCCCCATCCCTTCTCCTCCTCACGCTGCTCGCCACCAGGGCAGCGGATTCTGGTTGCGAGCGGCGGACGGGAAGACCCAACACATTACCGTCCCCGCCCCTCTCCTCACCCCACTTCTCCCCATCCCTCCGTCCCCCCAGATCGACGTGCGCCATCAGAGCAGCGGCTTCTGGTGGAGGGCAGCATGTGAGTCGAACCAACACAGATCTCTCCCCGGCCCCTTTCCCTCCCCTGCGTTCCCCTCTCCCTCTCCACTCGTTCCCCTCAGATCCACGTGCGGCATCAGAGCAGCGGCTTCTGGTGGCGGGTAGTGTAAATCCCTACCCTCCCATTCCTCCATCTCCCTTCACTTTCCTTCACCACCCCTTTCCGCCATCCCCCCAGATCCACGTGCGCCATCAGAGCAGCGGCGTCTGGCAGCGAGCAGCATGTGAGTCGCCTAACGAGCCATTCTTCCCAAACCCACTGAATTCTCCACCCCTTCTCCGCTCTTCCCTTCCCACCCCTCCCCTCCATCCCCTCAGATCCACGTGCGCCATCAGAGCAGTGGCTTCTGGTGGAGGGCAGCGGACGGGAAGACGTGGAGTGGCAGTGTGGCGACCAGCAGCGACTTCCTCCTTCGTCTCCGCTCAGTCACTCCCTCCCTTGTCACACCCCCCTCCCCTCCATCCCCTCAGATCCACGTGCGCCATCAGAACAGTGGCTTCTGGTGGAGGGCGGCGGACGGGAAGACGTGGAGTGGCAGTGTGGCCACCAGCAGCGATTTTGACCAGCCAGACGTGTCCCAGGCGCTCACAGTTATTCGCGTCAGCGCCACCACGGTGCGTATGGGGGAAGGGTAATGAGGGGAACAGTGATGTGGTGCGGCAGTGTGGCGACCAGCAGCGACTTTGACCAGCCGAACGTCTCTCAAGCCCTCACGGTCATTCGCGTCAGCGCCACCACGGTGAGTGTGGGCGCGTGTGCGTGTCCTCTATCCAATTCTCCTTCTTTCTCTCACTCCTGTCATTCCCTCTCCTCACCTCCTCCTCTGCTCCTCCTCTCCTCTCCCCCCCTCCCAATGATCAAGCTATTAACCCCCAGCAGCACGTGCCTGTGCAAGGCCTCTCCTGTGTGCGTCTCTCTGTCTGTCTCATTGTGACCCCTCTCCTCTCCCATCCTCTCCTTCCCTCCCAATCCCCGTACTCCCCAACTCCGCCCAACAGATCAAGCTACAGACCCCCAACAGCACGTTTCTGTGCAACGCGTCGTACCCGAGACGCCACAGCAGACGGGTGCTCGCCACCACAGCAGACGCCACCGACCCCCTCGCCACCTTCATCCATCCTAAGCACTGTCGTATTCCTTCTCTTCTCCCTCCTGTATCCCTCCTTTCCCCCCACCAGATCAAACTGCAAACCCCCAGCAGCACATTTCTCTGCAAGGCTCCGCCCTCCCCACGCAACGCGTCGTACCCGAGAGGAGTGCTCGCCACCACTGCCGACGCCACAGACCCCCTCGCCACCTTCACAAACGCTTCAACCACTCTCGTTTCCCTCATCTCTCTCCCCCCTTCTCTCCCTCTTCTCCCTCCCATTCCCCCTCTCTCCCTCTCCCAGATAAAGCTGCAGACTCCCAACAGCACGTTTCTCTGCAAGGCGCCGCCCTCCCCGCCCAACTCATCGTACCCGAGAGGCATTCTCGCCACCACAGCCGATGCCACCGACCCCCTCGCCACCTTCACCATCATCCCCATCCCCAACTCCCGTCGAGACAGCACTTTTTCGATTGATGCTGTTGCTGGTACTGGTGCCAATGGTGCGAGCACAAACAGCAGCAATAGCAGCAGCAGCACAGGCAACACCAGTGGCAGTGATTATCTAGGGTTAATTGCCCTGGCGAGTGCAGACGGGTATTACCTGTCCATGGGGGAGGTGGCGCCTGAGTTTGTGGACGTGGTAACCACGGGGGATCCGGCAGCGGGCGCGGGTGGTGACGAGTGGCTGGATGTGCGCGAGGTCATGACGGTGCCTGCCGTGCGCGGCGTGAATCTGGGCGCCTGGCTGGTGGCCGAGGACTGGATGAACCCCAAGGCGTTTCAATACATGGCGTGGGGGGATGGCACACGGGTAAGTGAGTGAGACTGAGTGAGTAGTAGTAGGTTGGTTCTTCTAGTTGCTGTGAGGTGAGTGAGTTTTGAGTCTCTGAGTTAAGTGAATTCGACTCAAAAGTCACCTCGGCTGGCTGGTGGGCGAGGAGTGGATGAACCCGAAGGCGTTCAAGTACATGGTGTGGGGGGATGGCACGCGGGTGAGTAGTGAGTGGTAGTAGGTTGTCGTTGCTGTAAGGTGAGTAACTGTTGGCTCAGGAGTCACCTTGGCTGGCTGGCTGGTGGGCGAGGAGTGGATGAACCCGAAGGCGTTTCAATACATGGCGTGGGGGGATGGCACATGGGTGAGTGAGTGAGTGAGTGAATGAGTGAGTGAGTGAGTGAGTGAGTGGCAGTAGGCTGTAGTCGCTGTGAGGTGAGTGACTTCTGAGTCGTCTCAAAAATCACCGCGGCTGGCTGGTGGGCGAGGATTGGATGAACCCGAAGGCGTTTCAGTACATGGCATGGGGGGATGGCACGCGGGTGAGTGAGCAAATGATGTGTGAGGCGCCTCAAAAACTGTACACGGCATGGGTGGGGGATGGCACCCCGTTGAGTGAGTAGTGAGTAGTAGTAGGTTGTAGTCGCGGTGAGGTGAGTGGGTTTGGAGCCTTTGAGTCGACTCAGAAGTCACTGCAGCTGGCTGGTGGGCGAGGAATGGATGAATTCGAAGGCGTTTGAGTGCATGGCGTGGGGGGATGGCACACGGGTGAGTAGGTAGTTGTAGTCAGTGTGTTGGTGAGTGAGTTTTGAGAGGCTTTGAATACGTGTTTGTTTGCGTACATGGCGTGGGGGATGGCACCCAGGTGATTTAGTGCGTTTTGAGTGCGTTTTGATTACCCCACCCCATTCGTACATGGCGTGGGGGATTCACACCCTTTCACTCACTCCCATTCGGTTGCACATCATCCCCACTGTGCGTCCTCCTTCTCGCAGGTCACATTCCAGTCCACCACCACGGATATGTACATCAGTGGGTGTCGGCACGGGCAGGGCAGTGAACCCACATCACATCTCTGTCTGTTCATCCCTGCCTCCTCATCCCCTTCTCGCAGGTCACATTCCAGTCCACCGCCACGGACATGTACATCAGTGCAGTCAGCACAGGCGCAGAGAACTCACATCTGCCTGTTCATTCACATCCTTCACTTCCCTCATTCCGTGCCTCCTCATCCCCTCATCCCCTCATCCGCCCAGGTCACATTCCAGTCCACAACCACGGACATGTACATCAGTGCAGTCAGCACAGGCGCAGACGCTAAGGTAAGTTTCCGGGCTTTGACGCGCCCCACAGGCTACGTTTGAGGGGCCTCAAAAGTTAATAATGCCTAAGGTGAGTATTGGGAAAGCATCGTGCGTTTTTCCTCCATTGAGACCCTTTACAGGCGAAGCGAAGGGGTCAGGCAGGCCATTGTACTGTAGCTTTCTGCACCGCACCTCCAGGTTGTTATCTGCACTGCAGGGCTCGATTCATTGGTTTCCCTTGTCTTTCTGCTTCCATGACATCCCCCTTATCAGCATACTGAGTATCCACATCCCTCACCGAATATCTGTCCCCCTTCCACGAATCCCGCATCCCTCATTCCCTTTCTCTCGTCCCTCCTCGTCCCACCTCGTCCCTCCTCGTCCCTCCTCACCGCCTTACCATCTGGCGTTGTGCCATCCTTTCTCCCCAATCCCCGGGCCATCCCCACGCGAATGCTCCTCCCCTCGAGTTGCCAGCTGGAATGTAACGCTGCAGCGGTAACCGTGTTACAGTACTTCCAGCTCCTCACTGTGCCAGGCGCTGCAGATAACGTCCGTCAGGTGGGCTCTCTGTTGCCTTCAGGTGGGCTCTCTGTTGCCTTCAGGTGGGCCCTTGGTTGCTCCCAGGTGCGGCTCTATTTCTCTCAGCTGGCCCTTCTCTTGTTCTCAGGTGTGCCCTCTGTTGCTCAGCTGGGCCATCTGTTTTTCTCAGGTGGGCGCTCTGTTTCCTTCAGGTGGGCACTCTGCTTCACTCACTGGTGCTCACATGGGCCACATGGACCCGCTGGTGCTCGGGTTTTGAGGCGTCTCAAAGGTGCTCGGCTCGGGCGTGCTGCTGTTTGAGTCGCCTGCTGGTTTGTTTCAAAGGTTTCTTTTCCACTTTTGAGAATTCTCAATTGTTATCAACCTTCTCCTTCCCGCTTCTCCCCTCGCTTGTTTGTGCCCCCTTCCCCCGTACGCACACATCACAGGTGGTGGGGCAGATGGGGTAGTACTGGGGTGTGTGTGCACACAGGCGCCACCACCAAGTGAACTTCCACGCATCATCCCTCATGCAGCAGTAGCAGCAGCAGCAGCAGCGATATCCTCTTTCCCCCACCACCATGTGAACGAGGGACACACGAGGTGACTTTTGAGTCGACTCAGAAGTCACCTCCTTTTCATCCCTCATGTGCGAGGGACAACGATCGCAGGGCAACAGCACTTTCTCCTCTCTCCCTCTTAACCCCTCACTCTCGCTCGTGCTGCACCTCACGCACACATGACTGCAGGTGGTGGGGCAGATGGGGCAGTACTGGGGCGTGTATACAGGCGCTACTACAGTGTGGACTAGGAACAATGAGGCACAGGGCAGCAGCAGCAGCCACTCCTTTCTCTCACTTGTCCCTTACTATTCTGCTCTCATCTCACCCCCCACATCACATCGCAGGTGGTGGGGCAGATGGGGCAGTACTGGGGTGTGTATACAGGCGCCACCACTGTATGGACCAAGGACAACGAGGCACAGGGCAGCAGCAGCAACTTATACACGCTCTCTCTTGCCCCTTGCAATTTCTGTTGTTCCCTCCCACCACACACTTGATCACAGGTGGTGGGGCAGATGGGGCAGTACTGGGGCGTGTATACGGGTGCCACCACCGTGTGGACTAAAGACAACGAGGCACAGGGCAGCAGCAACACATTCACGCTGCTGCTACTGGGGGCGCAGTTCACCAGAGACATGCCCATGAACGACTCTCTGAGAGTTATGATCCAGGCTCCCAACGGGCAGCTCTTGCAGGTACGGCTTCTGCGGGTATGCAGGTGCGTGTGTGTGTGTGGGCTACAGGTATGCAGGGCAGCAGCAACGCCTTCACGCTGTTGCTGCTAGGGGCGCAGCTGACCAGAGACATGCCCATGAACGACTCTCTGAGAGTCATGATCCAGGCGCCTAACGGCCAGCTGCTGCAGGTATGTGTGGGTCCTCTCTCCCTCTATTCCTTCCTTATCCTCTTCTCCCAGCAGCAGCAACAGCTGCTAGGCGCGCAGCTGACGAGAGACATGCCCATGAACGACTCCCTGAGAGTTATGATCCAGGCGCCTAACGGGCAGCTCTTGCAGGTATGTGTGCGTGAACCCTCCCCCCGTCCTTGCCCTCTCAGCTGCTGCTGGGCGCGCAGCTGACGAGAGACATGCCCATGAACGACTCTCTCAGAGTCGTGATTCAAGCACCCAATGGCCAGCACTTGAGGTATGCAGCGCAGTAGCAGCAGCGCGTTCAAGCTGTTGCTGCTGGGCGCGCAGCTGACGAGAGACATGCCCATAACGACTCTCTTAGAGTCATGATCCAGCTCCCAACGGGCAGCTGCTGCAGGTATGTGCGCGTTACGGGTTATTGTGGGCTGCTGTGTGTGTGAGCTGCAGGTAAGCTGGGCTGCAGCAGCAACGCGCCTTCACGCTGCCAGTGACATGCCCATGAACGACTCCCTGAGAGTTATGATCCAAGCACCCAACAGCCAGCTGCTGCAGGTATGGTGGCGGCTGCAGGTACGGTGGGCAACAGGTAGGTATGGTGGGCCTCTGCAGGTCTGCAGCTGCTGCTGCTGGGCGCGCAGCTGACGAGAGACATGCCCATGAACGACTCCCTGAGAGTCATGATCCTGCAGCCAGCTTCTGCAGGTATGTGTGTGTTTGTGTGTGTGGTCTACAGATATAGTGGGCTGCAGCAGCAGCAGCAGTTGCTACTGGGGGCGCAGCTGACCAGAGCCTCCCCCAGGAACGACTCCCTCAGACGGAGTCATGACCCTGGCACCCAGCAGCCAGCTGCTGCAGGTATGTGTGCTGCGCGTGGGCCCTCCCTCCGTCCCGTGCCCTCTCAGCTGCTGCCAGTAGCGCAGCTCACCAGAGCAGCTCACCAGAGCCACCCCCATGAATGACTCCCTTCGTTTCTCAACGGCCAATGACCCTGCCACCGAACGGCCAATGCCACCAATGAAACCCCAAGTTTGTTTTCCTCCTTCGTTTCTCCTCCTCCCGACCCATCTTGGCCTCTCTCAACCCCCTGATTCTCAGGCGCACGAGGACGGCACCCTAACAGCCGACCACAGCGCCAGTGCCATTGAGGGAACCTAAAGTCTGCACTGCCTCTTTTCTCCTCCTTCCGTCTCCCCTCCCTCAACCCCTGTTACCAGGTACACGAGGACGGCACGCTAACAGCCGACTACAGCGCCAGTGGTCTTTTTCTCACTCCACCCTTCCATTACTTCCCTTGCTCCCGTCTCCCCTCCCTCACCCCCATGTACCAGGCGCACGAGGACGGCACCCTAACAGCGGACTACAGCGCCAATGCCACCAACGAAACGCTCTGGTCGGGGCCAGCTGTGTTCTTCATGGACCTGTCTCCTCCCGACCCTAAACCCCCTCTCTCACCCGTCCAGGCTCGCGAGGACGGCACCCTAACAGCCGGCTACAGCGCCGACGCCACTGAGGGGGAGGGAACCCACTCATGGGCCCTGTCTGCTGTCCTCTCCCGTCCCTCTCCACCACTCTCAACCCCTCTACTTCCAGGCGCACGAGGACGGCACCCTAACAGCGGACTACAGCGCCAATGCCCCTCTTTTCTTCCATCCCCTCTCCCCTCTCCTCCCTTCCCGTCTCCCTCTGCCTCCCCCCCTTCCCTCCAGGCGCACGAGGACGGCACCCTAACGGCGGACTACAGTGCCAATGCCACCAACGAAACCGATTCTGGGACCTTTTGTCTCTCTCCCCGTTTGACTTCCCCTCCCGTCCCTCTCCAACTCTTTCACCCTCCACTTTCTCCAGGCGCACGAGGACGGCACCCTAACGGCGGACTACAGCGCCAACGCCACCAATGAAACACTCTGGTCGGGGCCAGCTGTGTTCTTTATGGACCTGGTGAGCGGTAGAGGTGTATAGAGAGAGGTACAAAGAGGTAGACGTAGGTAGAGCGAGGCAGAGAGTCGCTCTGGTCGGGGCCGGCTGTGTTCTTCATGGACCTGGTGAGCGGTAGAGGTGTATAGAGAGAGGTACAAAGAGGTAGACGTAGGTAGAGCGAGGCAGAGAGTCGCTCTGGTCGGGGCCGGCTGTGTTCTTCATGGACCTGGTGAGAGGGAGAGAGGGGTAAAGAGAGGTGCTGGCAGAGGCAGAGAGGGGCAGAGAGGGGCAGAGAGGGGCAGAGAGGGGCAGAGAGGGGCAGAGAGGGGCAGAGAGGGATAAAGAGGGACAGGGAGACGCTCTGGTCGGAGCCGGCTGTGTTCTTCATGCGAGCTTCGTGGCTGACTTGTGCTGTCTTATCTGGACTAGCGCCTCACGTGGGCTGTCTTATATGAATTAGCACCTCACACAGGCTGTCCTTACCATGGATTCGATGAGGTTTGCTACCCGTCTCATGTTTTTTGAGAATTCTAAAAAAACTTACCATGGATTCGATCAGGCTTGCTACCCGTCTCATTCACTTCCTTGTTAGTAACCACGAGACAGGGCACAGGACACAACATCATGTCTGCCCTTAGAGAACACCGGATATGTCCTTGATCCTTCCTTGATTCTTCTCCTTCCTTGATTCTTCTCCTTCTCCCCCACCCTCTCCCCGTCCCAGGTGAGCACAGTGCAGGGCGACTGGCAGGCAGCGTACGCAGCAGCAGGGCCGGACCGGAGCAAGCATCAGCCCTCTTTGACTCCTCAGCCCTCGAGGCACTCAAAGCTTATCACCAGGGGTGAAGCTCGTCACAGAGATGCACTGGCAGGCCATGCTGGTGTGGCCCTCCCACCCTTACTGGCCCTCCCTTGCAGGACCAGAGCAAGCTTCAGCCCTCTTCGATACAGTGCACTTCAAGCTCGTCACAGAGCTGGACTGGCAGGATATGAAGGCGAGAGGGGTGTAGCTCACCCGTTCTTACTGATACTTCCTTCCTTCCTTGCTGCCCCTCTTCCTTCTTTTCTCTCCCCCGTCCAGGTGAGCACGGTGCACAGTGACTGGCAAGCAGCGTACACAGCCGGGCCAGAGCAAGCTGCAACCCTCTTCGATACAGTGCACTCGCAGCTGATTACAGATCTGGACTGGCAGGACATGAAGGCGAGAGGGGTGAACACTGTGCGCATCCCCATCCCCTACTGGATCGCCCAGGGTGTAGCTGCCTCCCCACCCTTACTGATATCTCTTTCCTCCCTGTTCTTCTCCTCCTTCTCCTTCTCTCTCCCGCTCTCCCAGGTGAGCACAGTGCATGGCGACTGGCAAGCAGCGTACACAGCCGGACCAGAGCAAGCTTCAGCCCTCTTCGATACAGTGCACTCAAAGCTGATCACAGAGCTGGACTGGCAGGACATGAAGGCGAGGGGGGTGAACACCGTGTGCATCCCCATCCGCTTGCTTACTGATATCTCTTTCCTGCCTGTTCCTTCTCCTCCGTCTCCTTCTCTCTCCCTCTCCCAGGTGAGCACGGTGCATGGCGACTGGCAGGCAGCATACACAGCAGGACCAGATCAGGCAACCTCCCTCTTCGATACAGTGCACTCCAAGCTCATTACAGAGCTGGACTGGCAGGACATGAAGGCGAGAGGAGTGAACACCGTGCGCATCCCCATCCCCTACTGGATTGCCCAGGAAGACCCCTCCTTCGCCTTCTCCTCCCCTGCTGATGCCGGCAGCAACAGCAGCAGTGGCAATAGCAGCAGCAGCAATGATAGCAGCAGCACCCCCGCTGCTACTCCGGGAGTGCCCGAGTTTCCCTACCCGCCGGGTGCTCTGGCGCATTTAGACTGGGCGTTTGAAATGGCGGCTAAGTATGGGCTGAGGGTCTGGCTGAGCGTGCATGTGGCGCCTGGGTCGCAGATCGGAGCCGCGTTTTCGAGAGACGGGTTGATCCGATGGTCCGGATTGAATGTTGATCACACTCTCGATTTCGTCCGTTGGATCGGCGGCAGGTTCGGAGGGAACCCGAGCCTGTTTGGCGTGGGGCTGCTGCACGAGCCTGTAGCCCCGTCGTACTATGGAGTATTGGGTGTAGACGGGGATGAGCTGCGGGAGTACTACAGAAAAGCGCATGATCTTATAAGGGAGCGGTGTGCATGCTGCTTTGTGTCGATCGAGGGCCGTGTGGGGAAGAGCATGTGGGACGTGGCGTTTCACATGCTTGACACGTGGCACCCCAATGTGCTGTACGAAACGCACCTGTACAATGTGCTGTCGGGCGTCCCGCTGGCTACCAGGAAGCTTCCGCAGCTTGTGCAGTTGGAGATTGGGGAGCAGCGGAGCAACAAGCCGACGCTACTTGACAGCGCGCAGAGTGTGAGTATTGTGGTGGTGGTAATTGTGCTGGGTGGGGTGTGGTGTGGTGTGGTGTGGTGTGGATATGGTGGTTCGGTGGTTACATTAGATATGGTGGTGGCGCATGTGGTGTAAATATCACAAGGTGCATTGAGAGTGGTTGTGCTTGTGTTGTGTCTGGTGGTTTTAGTCAGTTGTAGTGCCTGCATTCAAATGTCTTTCACATCCACCAGTTGGAGCCAAACCAATCAGCATTTAAACCCACCCCCACCTCACTCGTCTTTCCATCCCCTCCTCCCCTGCACGCCCCCAACCCTCTCCCCCACTACTGCAGATAGGCCGGCCCATTCTGGTGGGCGAGTTTGGGGTGGCGATGGCGAGTCTGGGCCCCACAGAGGAGCAGCAGAAGGAGTTCACTCTCGCTCAGATGCAGGCGCTGGGGCATGCACAGGCAGGCTGGTTCTTCTGGTCCTGGAAACTCAATGTCACCGGTACGTGGGACAAATTGGGCTGTGGAGTCGGACACTATGTGGGAACATGCTTATAGAATGTGCATTTGGGTTTGGGCGACAACCATTATTTTACTGTTTTTTTTTTTCAATATACAGTTTGTTGTGTGACACGCTGTGTTTGCTAAATGTGTGTTCTCTTGTTTGTTTCTGCAGGTAAGGCCAAGTGGCAGTTTCCTCTAAGCATGGCCATGGGATGGTTACCTAAAAAGGACGATGGAAATTGGTATTGACTGATGCGTACCGTATCAGCATTTGATTCTGAATATGTATGTTGTCACGGATTTAGGTGGATTTACATATATTTGCAAATACACATTCTGTAATGTCACCTCCTTTAGGTCCTATGTTGCCGCCCCCCTACGAATTGCTTTGGTCTTGTTTGTAGGCTTCAACGCTATACACACGATGCCCGTTTGACTAACCCAAGGTGCCCTTGTGAAGAGGGCTCTCAAGTAATTCTTGCATTTCGCTAAGCTTTCGTCAATTCGCACTTAGCAAAAAGGGCTTTTAAAAGATTTTGTAACTCGCTGTTGACCGTTTGACATGGGTCTCTTCTGTCAAACTTCGGTTTTTGTGGTTCGTATTGCTCGAGGTGCTTGTAAATGGGGTGCAACTGGCTGGTACCCTAATACACGGGTGCAGAGTTTCCATCGCGAACAGGGCAAATTCGCGTGCGGGGGTTGGGCATCTTGTGTACACAGCATGTGGTCACCAGAGGCTGCATAGTGTCCGACTATCCTCGCTTTACTCGTTAGGACGTGTTGCAATTGCCGACGCACTGCATCGGCTCGGCTCGGGGCACGGGTTTCGAAATGCTCCGGGAAAGCTGGAGGCCGAAAAGAATTTACAGGAAACACGCAAAAGCATTCTACGTCCTAATATACCTTGGCATATAACTCTGTAAATCATTATTTTGAAACGTTTTTTTGCCCGGGTTTGGCCGCTCTCCTGCCTGGAGCCTTCCAAACGCCCCGTGCCGATGCAGTGCACTGGGAATTGCAGCACGTCCTTTAGTATCTTGCGTTCTGTTCCATGAGTGTGGTGAAGAAGAGTACGGCGTGAGTAGTGGCTAGTTGCTCACAACTCTTCATACCTCAGAGCGGTTTTGAAACGACACAAACTGCACGAAGTGCAATTCCGCGCTCGTTTAGCGGGCTTCATGTTCAGCGGGCACTTGAGACAGTGAGGCTGAATGCCTCGCACACCCCAGCTACAAAGTTTAGCACACTGTTCAGAAGCAGAATCTTCGTCGAATATATTTCTTTCCGTGTTTCTTTCTAAAGGGTGGTTGCGACATAGTCTGGGCTGGTCGGGCTTGCACCAAATGTGAAGAGCGAGCTGTGCTTGCATCGCTTTGAATGGTAAATCTATTCTGGGCCAGCCTGGTTTGACTTTCGCGAGTTTCCGTGTTGCGCCCGTCGCGAAGTCGTCATAACTTCTCGTCACGAACGAATGCTTCCGAACTGGCCTTCAGATTCTTCGTCACAAGATTCTCACACATCGTTTCCACAGGACGTATCGTAAAAACGTTTCGCAAGCTGCTTCGCCACAATCCTTCGAGATGCTTCGCCACAATTATTGCTGCTGACATGAATGTCCTTTCCTGATCGCCTCGCCCTCACCTCACCACCTCCACCGATCACGGCGCCGCTGACCATCCCACCCTTTGTTATCTGCTAAGAACGTTAGTTCTCAACTCAACCAGCCACCAATCGCGGTACAAAATCTCTCTCTCTCCCATGTCTCATCGGCAGTTTCTGAGTTGACAATCATCGACGTCCCGTTCGCGCTTATCCAGTGACATTACCTCTCACCTTCATTCGTGCTGCTTTCGCGGCTCGACATAATGGGTAGATTACTTGCGCAAAATGCGGCGGCAGGCCGGTTACAGCTGCTGATGCGGCTGTTACTGATCGTAGCTGCACTGTTCATCCCGCAGCTTCGGATTGCGGAGGCGGCGTGCACCAAGGTGCGGAGCGTGCTGGTCGTCGGCGCGGGCATCTCAGGTGTCTCCGCGGCGCGACACATCGCCGTCACTAACGGCGAGTGCTTCAAGGTGCGTATAGGGCGGCGCTTGTCGGAAACAGATCAGATTTCTCTTGCGATTCATGTGATAGTCGTTGCGCCAATCTCGAACGGTCCACTACAGTGCGCCGACCAGCAACTGCGCCGAGTCGCATCTACGCAGACCCGCAAACGCGCGGACTCGCAAACGCGCGGACCCGCAAACGCGCGAACTCCGTCGGCGCGCGTGAAGATTTATCAAACTAACTGGGTCCAGCGTCTCGAATTTTGCATCCCGCGAGCCGCTGAGTGACGAAGGCGCTGAGCAACCCTCGCGTTGCCCACTTTTTCCGCAGGTCAAAGTGCTTGAGGCACCGCGCGGGGCTCACCTTGGCGGAACCAGCCCAACAAACCTCCGCCCAGCCATGGGGCCCATGCTTCCGCCTAACCTCTGCTACACTTTCCCACCACCTTTCCCGCCAACTTTCCTGCCACTTTTCCCGCCACCATTTCCGCCACCTTTCCAGCCACTTTCCTTCCCCTCCACTTCCCCGTAAGGTTACGGTGCTCAAGGCGCGCAACCGCATGTGAAGCCGCACGGAGCACTTAGTAGGGCCCCACTCTTTCCGCTCTGACGGATACGTTTTCCGCCATCCCCGTTAACCCGCACCCTCCCACCTTTCTCCCCCGCAGGTGACGGTGCTCGAGGCGCGCAACCGCGTGGGCGGGCGCATGTGGAGCCGCACGGAACCCGCGCCGGCCGCGGGAGTCGGCAGCGGCGGCGTGATTCGCGGCGAGATGGGCGCGCAGTGGATCCAATCAGCGACAGGCAACCCCATCACGGCTATTGCGCGCCGATTCAAGCTCAAGATCGGCGAGCAGAACGGCGAGGAGATTCAGTACCGCGCGGGCGGGAGCGCGTACACTGCCTTTCAGCTTAAAGTCGCGTCGGCTAAGTACGACTGGGCGCTGAAGCGCGCCAAGCAGATCGCGAACAATCAGGACAGAGATATCTCGATGGAGAAGGCGTTTCGAGCGGCAGGGAACTTCCTGAATCCGTATATCCAGGTGTGTGATCTTCACACACGAATATTCAGGTATGAATCTGACTACTGTTATGAGACGTTCCATTAGATTCAGCGACACCGACTGCCATCTATTCAACCATGAGTAAATAAACTGCTTCTGTTGAACGTCATTCAGTCTAGACCATCCCATCCTTCGGTTGTACCTGCCCCAGACCCCACCCTCACCGTCTAACCTCAAAACTTATTCAGAATCTGAATGTCTAGCAGGCCCGCGGGCGAACTCCTAACTGTGTCCGCCTGGTACTACCAGAACACCTTATCTGGCCCCGCCCCTACCAACACACCCCAAAACCCCTTCCTCTCCTGAATTCCGGCCTGCAGTCGCGCGTGGCGGTGGATTTCGAGTTTGAGTATTCGGGCGAGCTCTCGACTTTGTCTGCCTGGTACTACCAGGACGAGGCGTTCGACCCGCCGGATCTGGTGGTCACCAACGGCTATGATAACATCCCCAAGATGCTCATGCAGGTGCGTGGAGGGGTGCGTGTGTGTGCATGGGGAGGAGCTGTCAAACGGTGTCTGCGTGGTACTACCAGGACGAGGCATTTGTTCCCCCCGATCTGGTAGTCACCAACGGCTACGATAACATCCCCAAGATGCTCATGCAGTTTTGTGTGGGGGCATGGGATGTGTGCAGTGTGTGTGCATGGGGGCGAGCTGTCAGGTGTCTGTCTGGTGTCTGCCCGACGGCTATGATAACATTCCCAAGATGCTCATGCAGGTGCGTGTGGGAGTGCGTGCTTGCGAGTGGGGGAGAGTGTGCCTGGAGTGTTTTGAGACGTCTCAAAACACTTCTTCAAACACGTGCGTGTGGGAGTGCGTGTTTGCGAGTGGGGGAGAGTGTGCCTGGATTTGTGCAGTTCATGAACCTGATCGGATCTGGTGGTCACCAACAGCTACAATAACATCCCCAAGATGCTCATGCAAGTGCGCGGAGGGGTGTATGGGTTTGCGTGTGTGGCGTGTGGGGTGTGTGCATGGGTTGATGGTGCTGGACTAATCTGGTGGTCACCAACAGCTATCATAACATCCCCAAAATTGCCATGCAGGTGTGTAGTGGGAGTGTGCGTGCTTGTGCTGGGGATGCGTGCGTTGGCAAGTGTGTGAATGCACTTGTCTCAAGTGTATGGTGTCTTGCATGCGTTTGGCAGTCCAGAACTGATCCGGTGGTGGCCGGCGGCTACGACAACATCTCCAAGCTGTTTCTGAGCAGTGCGAATCACAGGCAAGGACACCACCACCGACACCAGCCTCTCACTCTCTTCCCACCCCCCATCTCTCCTGCAGGAAGCCACAATCGCAGGGGCAAAGCTGGTGCTCAACTTTGAGGTGACAGCAATCTCGCGGCTGACCTCAGGAGAAGTGCAGATTACGGGCAAGGACACCACCACTGGCGCCACCCGCTCACGCTCTTCCCACCCTATCCCTCCTCCCTCCCATCCCTAACTCTCCTGCAGGAGGCAATCAACGCAGGTGCACAGCTAGTGCTCAGCTTTGAGGTCACCTCAATCACCCGCTTGAGCTCGGGAGCAGTGCAGATCACCGGCAAGGACACCCCCACCGGCACCACCCGCTCTTACACCGGAGACGCTGCAATCATCACCCTCCCCCTCGGAGTTCTCAAGGCTGGAGTAGTTTCCTTCTCTCCCGCACTCTCCGCGCGAAAGCAAGGCGCTATACGGCGCGTCGGGTTCGGGAATGTCAACAAGGTGTTCTTTTTCTACAACACCACGTTTTGGCCGACGTGGGCGGACGAGTATTTTATCGAGGATGCGCAACTTCCGGGAAACCGCGGGCGGTGGGTTGACTGGGTGAATCTGAAGCGCGCGTGGGGTATGACAGCTTTGGAGGGTGTTGCGGTTGGTTCATATGCGAACCGCATGGCGCAAATGAGTGAGGCGGAGTGCATCAAAGACGCGGCTAACAAGATCAAAGTGATGTTTCCGAAGTATAAGACTGCAAAGGTGCATGCGGTGTGGTTACAGAGGTGGAATCTAGATCCGTATGCGAGGGGAGCATACAGTTATGGAAGGCTGGGGATGAAAGGGGATGGCGACACTACCGGGGATTTTAACATTTTGGCAGAACCAGAGCAGAATTTCCTGTTTGCGGGGGAGCATACCAATGGAGCTTATAGAGCCAGTGTCCATGGAGGGTATTTGTCTGGGATTCGGGAGGCTAGAAGAGTGCTTAGGTCTTATTAGTACCTTAAGCGTCTGTTTAGTGGATCCCCTTTACTGGTTGGACCCGGTGTCCACTACACAAAGATGGACTACGAAGAGGGTAAACACGGTGGGTTTATATCAACAAAATTGTACTACACAGAGTTCAAGGAAACAAAATTGTACATTTCGCTAGTGTCTTCTGGTGTAGACGTTCGTATTTAATAAAATTTTCATGGTAACTTCTGTCGTGATCTCGCAAAATTCTTCGCCAGTGAATCGTGTGACCTGCTTCTACCTCGGCTTCTTGCGTTGGCTTCTGTTCGGTACAGTATTTCAGGTCTTGAGGAGAGAGGCCCTTGATTCGTCAGCTCTGGAGTTACAATGCTGAGCTGTGCGAGGCATGCTGCACACGACCCGCATGTTCCGGGGTGAGGCGTGTTTGTCATTCGAAAAGGCCCATCACAGTAACGCAACTAGAAAGTACAAGGAGCACTAAGCTGCTGCTTAGTGGCAGTCGTTGCTCGCGGATAGGCCCGAACGCCCAGTGTCAGTGAGAATGACAATCACGCGCAGCACATGTGAGCCGGCACGGAATGGAAATCCACCGGGCAAAAATATGAAAATATCTTCAGCTGCGCGTGAACAGCCAGAATAGCTCTGCAATTTGAAAATATCTTCAGCTGTCTTCACGCGCGGGGCAAATGGTTCTTCCGAACAGGGTGCACCTGCGCGCTTGTGCCTCAGAAGTCTGCTTGTGTCTTAGCAGCAAACTCCATGCGCGTCTTTCCGATGATAGTGACTCACTCGATTGGTTTCAATGCTTCCATGATAGCGAGCCTCCGTAGGTTGCGGTCACACGCTACAATACTGGCAAACAAACGACTCACATCCAAAGCAGTACAGCTTCGAAGGCTAGCAGCACACTTACTCCGAGTAATCCTGGACCTTCCGCGGCGGCGCCATCCGCTCACAGCGGCTTCATCGTCCGTCGAGCAGCACGAGACTGAGAGCAGTCTCGCCGAGCAGCGGTGGCATGGTTGTACACGCCGCGCCGCGGCGCGGAGGGATGGACGAGAATCAGCGGCCGGTTTACTAGACGGTGCGGCCTACGTCATCGCCTCAACCGTGACGGCTGCCTTTCTTTCCTTTTGCCGGCGTCGCCGTAGTAGTACTAATTTATGAAATATCCTCTGGAGTGCAGGAGGCGGAAAAATCTTCTCGACGCGCCGTCAGTGTCTCCTGGTCTTCTTCTAGCCGCAGTACTGCTGCTCTCTGGCAGCAATGGCGGAAGCACCGTCGCGGGCGTCCCGTGGCACCCTTCGCAATGTAACGTCCCCTCGCCGTAGAGATGAGCGAATCCAGCCTGGATATTATGTAACGCCTGTGGGCATATGACACCTAGTTTGGACCCAGTGGGTAGCTAGATGTTATACTGGAATCAGAGCCAAGGGTTCAAATCCCAGCTGGACCACACTTTCCGCCTTTGGCGAGAAGCAAGCTAGTGACTCCGCGGCTTGGGGGCTGGGGGGAGTGGGGGGGAGAAGCGGGGGCGCGGGAGTCATGACTCAGGAACACTCCCCCCTGGTGCCAGAGTCCTCATTGGCTCGGAACTTCAGAGAGTACTAGGCCCCCCAAAGAACATCGACCTTGCTGTGGTGCTGCTAGAAGAGACATTGCAGGTAGGGTCATGCCAGCAGAGGATTGTTCACTGAAAATGTGGACCAGCCGGGATTTGAACCTTGGCTCTGATACCAGTATAACACAACGCTACCCCCTAGCGGATGGCCTTTACACTAGCCCACAGGCGGCGTTACAGGCGGGATGATGATGCCGTTATCACGATGAAACGCTGCGAGGAGTCCCCATGGGGGACGCCCGCGGGGACACCAGCTGGATGGCGCGGCTGCCAACATCTGCACTCCTCGGAGCGGATTCCACGATCCGCGGAGATTGTCTCCCCCGACAGGTCGGCACTGTGCGGCTTCCAGATGGACTCCTTGGAGTGGATTCCGCGTTCCGGGGTCACTGAGTGTAATGCCTGTGGGTTGTGTTAAGGGCATTCCGCTGCGCCAAATAACACCCATGTTTTGACCCAGTGGGTAGCGAGGTGTTGTACTGGTTCCAGAGCCTAGGGTTCGAGTCCCGGCTGGTCCACACTTTCCGGCTATGGCGAGAATTGAAGCGTGGTTACCAGCTTGAACCCAGTGAACGGTCATGGAATGAGGTCCCTGCGGGGGCCGACTCCCTGATGTCCGAGGCCAACGGGGACGTTGGTAACCAGGGGGGGACGAGTGTAACGCCTGTGGGCTGTGTTAATGGGCAAGGTGTTATACTGATGGTTGTCTCCCCCGGCGAGTCGGCGCGAGAAGAGGCCTCCGCGAGTTGCCGCTTGAATTTTGTGCACCGTTTTGACTGCTTGTAGTAAGGGGGGACGACTTAGCAAGGACTCTGCGAGCGATCGCTACACAGGAGCCTTCAAGCAATCGGGGGATTCGGCATCCACGCAATACCGCAGCGAAGTTCAAGCGCGGCGGCGCGCTTTTGTGGCGTGCCTGCGTGGGGATCCTGGATGCTATAGACTGCCAGTAGCTTGTCGGTGGCGCGTACAAAGGATAATCCTTGCGAGTGATTTTTGAGAATTTTCAAAAATCACTCGTATGGGTTCCTCACTTTCCTCGAGAGCCAGCCCGGCTCATGGCTGTCTCCCTGAGGGTCAGAGAGTGGCCATCATGGCTAGGGAAGTTTCAGATGGGCGTCGGCAGCAACTCTTTTTTTCAGGCACGGTCGTCTCGTCCTTGAATTGACCGACCAGTTGGAGACATGGCCACCTGATACGATCCACATGACCCTGATACCATGCGCATGACCCTGATACGATCCGCATTACCCTGATACCATGCGCATGACCCTGATACGATCCGCATGACCCTGATACCATCCGCATGACCCTGATACCATCCGCATGACCTTGATACCATCCGCATGACCCTGATACCATCCGCATGACCCTGATACCATTCGCATGAGATGCCATCCGCATGAGATACCATCCGCATGAAATGCCATCCGCATGAGATACCATCCGCATGAGATGCCATCTGCATCGCATGAGATGCCATCCGCATGAGATGCCATCTGCATGAGATGCCATCCGCATGAGATGCCATCCGCATGAGATGCCATCTGCATCGCACGAGATGCCATCTGCATCGCATGAGATGCCATCTGCATCGCATGAGATGCCATCCGCATGAGATGCCATCTGCATCGCATGAGATGCCATCTGCATCGCATGAGATGCCATCCGCATGAGATGCCATCTTGGTCGACTCGCGACGAGGAGAGAAACGTAAGTCGAGTACCTGTGGGGTGAACTCAGCTGTTCAAGCCTCTGCCTTGGTGGGGTCAGGATGGGAGGGAGACTTAAAACCCCTCTTCGCCGGTTCAAGCCCATTCTCTGAGAAAAGCCCATCATTTAGCGCGTTTCCCCGAGAGGAAGTTTTTGTTCACGTGCTGACAAATTCGATCACTGGGAGGATATTCTTCGGAGCTCGACTGTTTCTGCGTGGAATCGTCCATGGTTCGGTGACAAACCCCCGTCGAACCGATTCAGTTTGACGTGGCTCGGGAGAAATATGTCATCAACTGGCGAATCGGTTCAATCCGATCGGTTCGACTCGAAAAAGCAAAGTTCAGTCGGTTCCCGGGGTACCGGTTCGAGGACTTGCTCAAAGGTAGAAGTCCCAGAGGGTGCCATGCCATACAACAAGCACATGAAGCATACTCGACAGTGAAAGGTAGTGCTTGCAACGTCCTTCTGTGGGGCACGTTGCCAAGGCAGGACAGGGCAAACGGCATCAACCCACAACATCAACCCCACACGAAGTTGGTGGCACAACAAGAAGATGCCATCACGACGCAACAGCTTGGATCATCTGTTGGTTGAGCAGAGAGCCAGGCACTGAGTGCGGTTGGCCTTTTCCAAACCGAACCAAGGATGGCTTGGTTGTTCGCTGGCAGGGTCGTTCGTAGGCTCGGCCAATTTGCTCATGCCTAGGACAATGTGCATAGAATGCTTCCATCAATTCTGCTTCCCTGTTCCCATTATGTTTCCTCCTAGATTATTTTTTCCTCTCGTAAAGTGTCTAACACACCCTTCCACACATGTTCGTGCAACAGTAAGAAGAGGTTCGACCGCAGCAAGCCGGGCAGAGTAGAAGTCTAACACACCCTTCCACACATGTTCCCCTTCCCACCGTGCTTCTTTTCAGTGCCATTCCTAGAGGAGCTCAAATACTGGGGTTCTGAAGACTAGTCACCTTCAACGGATGGGCTTTTTTCCTGATTCATTTCTGCTTTTGTCATTCTCACTCCCCCCCCCCCCCCACCGTGCTTCCTTTCAGTGCCATTCCTAGAGGAGCTTAAGTACTGGGGTTCTGAAGACTACGTCACCTTCAACGGATGGAATGCGGGGGATGACTGCAAAACAGCCGACTTTCTAACGTGTGACAATGACGGCATGCTCACGCGATTGTGAGTTTTTACACTTCTGAGTGGTTGACTCGAATCAATAGGTGACTTTTGAGGCGCCTCAAAAGCCGACTTCCTAACGTGTGACAATGACGGCATGTTCACGCGATTGTGAGTTTTTACACTTCTGAGTGGTTGACTCGAATCAATAGGTGACTTTTGAGGCGCCTCAAAAGCCGACTTCCTAACGTGTGACAATGACGGCATGATCACACGATTGTGAGTTCTCACACTATAGGCACTTCGGATGTCGGGATATCCCAATATAGTCGTCCCATTACCAGCTGTTCCAACATATATCTGTAGAGGTACATACAAGTCATAGCGCTAGTCATTAGCGCCCAAATGCTGCACTGCTAATACTAACACGGAGTGCATGTGTCTGGCTGTGTTGGACCATCACTGCCCAAGCCTTTCAATTAGGCTCGGCCGTTCAAGTCAGCTCGTCATGATCGACGAGGCACGCATGCGTCGATTTTGAGGTGATTTTTGTTTGAGGCGCCAAAAAA